ACATCCTGTGCACAGCCTATTCAACGGCAAGACAGCAAGCCTCACAGAGGATACTGTCAGAACAATAATCACTTTTAAAGTGGTTGTAAAGATCTTCTAGTCACTAAGCACGCAAGAAGAGGCAAAAGGAGGTTAATGAAACTTCAAGAACTGTTTGTGTTCAGTGAGGTTACTTTCACTCGAGTTCCTGAGAGCAGATAAGGTGGAAAAGAAGATATTGGGAAGGCAGATGACATTTAAAAGAAGCAGTATTAAATTTCTCCATTACAAGAATAAAGACTATTTTGTCAACAGTAAACACATTCATCTTCATCTGGGAGAAACAACTGATAGTTCCTGTTACCCGAGAGAATTCTAAACCTCAGCTACTCTGTGCACCTACAGAACAATTCGCGACCATGCATCAATATTTAGGTTACCGGTTTTGGAACAAATGCATCACCAAATATGAGTTTCAGAAACAATTGTTAGAATGGGAACAGAGCTGCTTTAATCACAAATTGTTTTCTGAACACATTCACCAGTCTCATTTCAAACTGTCTGAGCACCTGAGCTTCCATTTCCCCTTCTTGGATAATATTCACCAACCTAAAGGCAGCCAGCTATGCTGGGTAACTTTCCTCTGCTGTGCATTGTTCTTTTTCTCCTTTTCTGCTCCTTCTTTAGACAACATGAGGGTATTTTTCTCTCTACATGCTTGAAACCCATCCACAGTCCTCAGCTGCCACATCCTTTCATAATCTTATTAATATTCAAACAGGCACTAATGTTGCTGTGCTCCATTAAGAGACTTGGTCAATAGTTCCAAAAAAGCAAGAATACCAGGGGAAAATGATGGGGAATTACAGAGCCAGTAACACAGTGCTGAAAATCCCTCGCTTGGTTTGCAGACCGTAATACTTACATTTACAACTGTTGCTTTATTTTCAATGGCACTTTACTTAAGCAAAGTGGAAGTGTAGCTTCCGAAGCAAGAGCTGAAGCCTCAGAACAGAGGGTGAGTGATCCCATGCTTAACATCACTACTCAGAGCTATGATCACTCACTATTTTACTACAAACACCTTGTGCAACCTTAGTCAAGTTGCTTAGGGGGAGGTTTTGTGGCTTAATCCCCCATCTCTGAGATAAGCATGACTTAGCCTCCCTATCTCACCAGCGCACAGTGAGGATAAATACATTAAAGAAGAATTCATGTATCACAATATAGTGATAGGAGTTCAATACCCTGAATAGGGAGCAATTTATCTTTTTGTCTCCTGGATCAAGTACAGTTTCTAGGTGCGCGCAACAGGAAAAGCCTAATCTATTAATACAAAAAGAAAGCAAACCATCTCCAGCCCTACGTTCCTGTATACGAAACCATGAACAGAAACACACATGTGGAGGTGTAGAGTGGAAACACTGGAGTAGAAAAGAACAGAGTTTTCCTTTACTGCAACAGGCTTAGGACAGGGAGAGAAATCACAAGCTAGACAAAGAAATCAGTTCATTCCAGCAGAGTAAAGCAGAAAGCACAACAAACCCAAACAAATGTACATCAGGTTCATACATAAACTAGATATAGAAGTATTTAGACATGCACATTTTTACAACCCTCCTTCAAAGTTATCTTGTATAAGGAATACACTGTAATTTACTAGCATATGAATTATATACTGTTCCCAGGATGAAACCTCCATATTTCTCACTCCAGGCTACCCTCCCCATAAAATAGCTTTATTAGAGTTTAACAATGTTAGGGGACAAAGTGAAGGTAATGTCTATAGTGTGAGGTGTCCCTGTCTACAGCAGGGGGGTTGAAACTGGGTGATCTTAAGGTCCTTTCCAACCTGTTCTATGACTCTATAGCTCCCATTAAAAAGCCAGTCATGCCTTTCCTAGTGATTACAGAGCAACATACTTATAAAAAATGAGTTTTTCACCAGATATCCAAAATTATAGATTTATTCAGAGTCCCAGAGTAAAAAAATCAAACTTGTAAATTGTGCAGATTATACATCCAATAAAATATTTATTGGTGCACAATGTATATCGTTAACTGTGTTGACTACTTTTCACGAAGGTGCCAGAGGAATGAGGAATTAACCCGTGTAGAATATAAAACAGGCTTTCTCCAAGTCCTAGAGCTAGTTCATGAGCATACAAAACAGATTGTATGCAGAGCTGTAATATAGAAATTCTTCAGTGAAGAAGACACTGGAGCTGAATACCTGACAGCAGAACAAAACAGAGAACAGCATTAAAGCCATGTAGCTGAGGTGCAGCATGCAAATGCAGAAAGACCTGAATTAGTAATGGTGGAGATCTAGCTACAACAGACAGTGGCTGTGTCAGGGAATGTTTTAATGCCATCTTGCTAGTCTAAGGACTACCAAGTAACTCAGCCGGATGGAATTCTGGAAGTTCAGGGAATATATGGTCTAAAAATCTCTTTGGCTTTCTACAAGCAAGTGAATATTTGAATAGCCTCCTTCTCTGCAAACTCCATCAACCGGCATGCGAAAATCACACATGTGGCTTGAGGTGCACGTTCTTGTTTTCAGCGTTAATCAGAATCACAGCCAACCCCCCACTGTCTATCATCTATTCTTTCTCAAAATGCACATGAATATTCATCTCAACTGCAGCTACAGGGCACCAGACAGAGGCAATGCTATAAAAGCGAAAATTGAGAACAAATTCAACGTGAAAAAATCCTCTGGTTACTTTGCACCTTAATGCTGTGACTTCAAATGCACCTCATTGGCACCATACTCCTTGTCCTCCACATTTTGAGATGACCTTTACCACTTTCTAATGGACTTAGGCTATCAGTCGGGCTGTGCAAAGCTCCACATAGAAGATGTTTCTGCCCTGCCCATTCCCAAATTACCATGGTTAAAAGAATAAATACACCAATAATATGGAGTGAGGGGGTTCATAGAATCATAGAATAATTAGGGTTGGAAAGGACCTTAAGATCATCTAGTTCCAACCCCCCTGCCGTTCATCTTTCTCTCTTTTAGCTTTTTCCTTTCCAGTCCTTCGCACAGACCACACCAGGTTTAGGAATGTGATTACAGCCAAAATACGTTCTGCCTCACTCTCCATAGTCCTTCTCCTTAAAGCACCATGGTGCTGAAGACTGGGCATGGAAAGCAGCTCTCTCACAGGGCTTGGGATTTAACAGCTTACCCATCTTTCTCCTCTCACCCTAACTGGTTGCACTGCTTGACATTGAATACCACAGATTTGATATTGAATACCACAGATTTTGATATTAAATATCACAGATTTTACTATTAAATACCACAGATTTGCCAATAAAAGTATGCCGAATATTTCAGGATTAAGCAATCCTAAAGAAACTGGTCCCTAAATTACAGTGATTCATGTTGAAAGAATGATTACACCAGGTAATGTCAGAAAGCCCCTGGAGAAACTTGCTTGTTTTCTTACCCCAGCCACTTTCTGAAGGAGAGGACAAAATGGTTGAGATTGACTGACAAACTGAGGTTAGGTGTTCTCTTTGGCTCTTAGAGTCGCTGTGGTTTTAAATGTTCGCTCTGACAGCACTCGGTACCTGCTCATTTCAGAATCCTTTTTGATTTACTCTGAAGCAGCAGGACTATGCCATCAGCCAGCACGAACTCAATACCAAACACTGCTATTGCCTGCGTGCTCCTGGTGTGCGAGGCAGGAGAGGGGAGTACATGTACACCTGGATGAGAAGAGCTCTATTCCAACATCTTTCTGCTTAGAGAGACTAACAGCTTGGAATCCCACCAAGGACTGCAGGGCTGGATCCAAAAGAGTGGAAGTCTCAAAGTTTAGGTTCCTAAATCAATGTTTGAGATGCCTAAAAAACAACCATCTTGTGAAATATAGACTGTGAGGAAGCTTTCCTGAGGCCAGTCAGAACTCCAGTGCGTTCAGTATTTCTGGATGCACTTTGGCACCTAACGCCCAAGTTCCTGGTTTTAGAAATCCTGGACTAGAACCAAACCCATCTTGACATTTCAATGCAGTGCGGAGCAGAAGAAGGTTACTGCTGGGGAAGGAGATGGGGATAAAGATGGGCAAAGCGGAGGAAATATACAGCTTGTTCCATACGCAAAGCAGAAGGCTTAAAAATACCGTCTAGAACAAAGATCAAAGATTCATGATGGCTTAGCCATGCATGGCTGTGGAAGAAACAAAGGGTTTATAAAAGAATAAATGAAATATTAGGCAGCTGGAGCCTAAAGGGTATGGAGCTCCCCAGAGAAAGACTTTGTTGTTGTTGTCTTTGGTTTTGAGCATGTTTCCTTCATAAGGTTTGGTCAGAGGCTCCATTATGTTTTCCAGGTAGAGATTTTATTTCTGAGGAATGAGTGATATTTTCCTTATTTCCCTGACTTGAAGGGCAAAAACCTGATGTTCAGTTAAACCATGGCCAGACCTGTGCTAGCAAACAACACTCCACAACTCTTGTCTTTAACAAACTAATCCAGGCCACCAGCCGGAAGAGCTTTCATTGCCACCCTCCATAAAATCATAAAATCTTTCTTTCACCCCACTCATTTCCCAGTGGAAAGGAAACCAAAAGCTGACTTATTCTTTTTTTTTCACCTTTCCTCTATATTCTTTCTAGCTTAGATTTTACTCTCTGAAGATCAAAGCTTACTCCCCATTTCCATATAAAAGTGCAGTGAGGTGGAGCTTTACAGAATAGATGCTCATTGACACAAAACAATTTACCATCAATAAATGCCTTTACCAAGCTGTTTTCTTCCTCAGCTCCTGCACAGCTTCCTTCCTAGCCACAAACAGTACTTAAGTGTGTGGCACCTCATCTTCTCATCCACATGGCACTGGTGCAGCCATGTGAGCTGAGCTGGTCTCAGTAAGTGCTTTAGCATGTGGTGTGATTTTACTTGTCTGTTTTGTTTCTGTCTCTCATGAAGTGGTAATAGAAAAGAGTTATCCAAATAAAACCAATAATCAAATCAATATTTGGAGTCAAATTCTCATACTTACTTATTTTAGGCTGCTCATCTGAAGCTGTGGGAATGGTTGTATGGACTGAAGTCCGTACACACCCAGAAACACAGTTCACTTTTGAGACCATGTTCTCCAGGGAGCACTAGCAGTAGATGTCAGAGATCTGTGGTAAAGAGAAGCTCATTAGTTTAAAGCCTGAGAAAAAAACTCATGTGGGAATATGTAAGGAAATGCAAAGCCAGAAGATAAGGCTTCCTTTTATTAGGAAAACAGACAACTCACCACCATAAAAACACCCCTCTCTTCATGGGAATGCAGCCAGGAAGCTCTCTGCCACAGCTCCCAGTGAGGTTCAGAGCTCCCTATTGGGGACATCGCTACCAGAAGCAACAGTTCATTCCCCATGGTTTATTCAGTGCAGCAAAAGCCTATTACTTTTATCATTATCCCATTTGTTCTTTAAAGCAGCATAAACCTGCAGAGATTAGTGTGAAAGTTGTTAAAGTATTATATAAAATGTTCTTCTTCGGAAAAACAAGCATCTGGCCTCAGGGAAGACCTGAGTGAGAAGCAATGGAAACAAACGCCTACCAGGCTTGCATATAGCTTTCTTTAAAGATCTATCCAAAGAACTATAAGAATAATCTTTAAATTACTATTAAATACAGCAGAATTGCTTCTATTCTCAAATAACTATTTTTCATGATGTTAAACAGTACAATAACCTACATAGCTCTTACCTGTCTAACTGATGAGATGACGATATGTCATTTATTATTTGAGAACATATGCTGTTGGTTTTAGAAGCTCCAGCTTTCCAGTTAATCCCAGTTCAGGATACCATTCTCCATTCAGTTCCTACCATATGAACACAAAACAGCTATTAGGACAGATTTCACATCTGCAACATACTGAATTGCAACATACTTGGTATATTCAAGTTCTTGTTAAGAGAAGTTTTTCATAGTGATACAGAAAGTACGTATTTTTTCCAGAAAGGACGCCGATACACACACATATATATATACATAGATTACATACCTATTTATATATTTAGATATATGTATATATATAAATATCTATTTATATATTTCTACATTAAAAAACAATATTAAAGAGCTCCATTACGGGCAATGTCTAGTCTAACAAACATCCTACTAGAACTCAGGACAGTGCTCAAAATGAAAACAAAGGATAAATGATGTACAAGAACTGAAAAACAGCTAATGAGAGGTAGATAATTCTCACTTTCTATGGAAGATATGGAGTTCCTTTTTCCATGCAACTGACTCAGAATAGGTGACTTCAGGTATCTTGTTAAAAAGAGAAAAACACTGCATGTTGTTGACACATGCAAATACTGAATCTGATTCAAGCAGATGATGATACTCCAACAGGGTAAATTAGCACAAGGAGTTATTTTCCTATAATTTAAAGAAGGTCTGTTATTTCTTGCTAAATTTACCACGAAATAGGCAGGCACATATATACAAATGTAAATGCATCTGCCAACACCAAGAGCAAGGTTCTAGCACTACTACAGCAAGGTTCAGAGCGGATGACCTGGTACTCCAGCTGCTTGCCCATATTCAAACAGCAGTTTAAAGCATGTGAATAAATAAAGCATGTGAATAGCTAAAAGTACATGTTCTCACTACTCTGTACAGATCCTGGTCATGCATGTGCATACTCAGCACCACCAACTGAAAAGCAACCATGGTTCAGCCTCAGTTCTGACTTTGCCGCATACGGTTTCATCTACCGCTCTGAGACATAAGACAGATGGGATAGAGAGATCTGAAGTGTTACAAATAAAACCTAAAACTGAACTTTTAAATATTCATTCTGAACTATAAAGAGAGCCGTGGCTTTTGTGTGCTACAGATGGCTTGGAAATTCAGTGCAAACAAAGGACCAATTTCTGAATACTCATAGCTGCTGTACTAGAATAGCTGGAGGCCCAAAACTCCAGGGGTTTGAGATGATTCAACTAGATCCTCTTACCTGCCAAATTTCATCAAAGCAACATTGCTTTTACCATCTTATAGGGATGAAAGTAGTATGAATAGTGCAGGTTTTTTTAATGAAATGTGGCCTGCCTAAGCTTCAACAAAAAATTACAATATGAATGCAAAGTGCATGGTAAAGGGAAAGCTGTCTTTTTCGCATCGTATAAGGTGAAATCTGTACTTTTTATAGATTGAAAGATTAAACAGAAATATTTTGTGTATATGGATAAATGAAGGAAATAAAACAAAAAATAAGCATAATAAAAAATCCCTGCAGTCATAATCAATGAAGAACTGCTGACTGATTGCCAAGTATGGCCCTAGGTTTAAATCTAAGAGAGACACGTGTTTCTTTGTAAGGTAGCAGGGCATGACCTCATCAATCAGAGATTATCCTCTGCATAATAGTTTATGGAAAGATACCACTAACGCCAGCTCCTCATCTGCCTTGACACAGAGGGAAGCTGATGCAAATACAGCTGGAAAGGGACTGATCCCAAGTTATAGTGCTGCTAAGGCCATTCACTGCTGCATTTACATAGCAGTACAACAAGCATTGTCTGATGCTATTAGGCATTAGTCTGCTCTAGACTCTAAGGCTTTTGGTTTATACTCTGGGATGCATACAGAGAGGCAGCCTGGCTCACCATTGCCGTGACGCTCCATGATGCTCAGGAACTAGCTGCTGACTTTGTCAAGATTAGAGAGCAGGATGTTGTGAATAAGATGATGGGAGTTGGGGCAAGCATCTGAATTGCTTCCAAGAGAGGAAGAGCAGCAACTTATGGCAGGGAACCTGCCTGCTGGTTTTGGGAATGGCCCAGGTAAGACCTGCAGACCTGCAGCCTTGCTGGAGAGACACGGCATCCTGCACCACTAGCAAGACTTGAGGACCAGGGCCTCCCATTCAGCTGCTGGATCCATACCCATCCAAGTGCAAGCAGGGATTGTAGTCTGAAAGTGTGGCCTGGCCTCTGTTTGAAGATAGGGCAAAACAGCAGCACATGATCAGAGGAGAAAAGGCAGGATCCTGCAGTGCCCCAGCAGAAAGGAGAGCTTTGCCAATGACCTCCCTGTCCTTTTGAGAGTAACTGCTTTCCAAGATGGAGCATCCCAACAGGATACTTAAATACTTCAGCATAGTACAATATTCAGAGATAAAACCAAACAACTTTTGACAAAATCTGCCTCCAATAAAAACATCTTTATTGCCCTGGGCTAATGTGTATGTTAGCAAGAGATCACAGTTCAGCTTCTAGAGCCACTTTATGTGATATGGAAAAAAAGCTACAATCCATAGGGACCTTGTCTGTTAGTCCTCTAAAACATAAAATGTAGTTTTAAGCTACACTTCATCATGGTAATAGGCTATCAGCTATTCTCTTAAACCCTCAGATTCACTGCGGTCAGTCTAGGCAGAACCAGACAACCTGACAATCACCTCCTGGTGACTCGATACACTGTGCCCCTTCATTTTGAACCTATAGAGATCCTAATTACCTTTTAATCCTTTACTAGAACACTGGCAAAATGACTGCTGCCCCTATGGCATACACATGTGAATGCTGATAGGCACAGTGCCATGGGGCCTCTTCCCCTGAGGCTCCGCGTTGTGTGCAGGGCTTGGCAGAAGGTACCACCATCTCTCTTAGCTTCTCCTGCTCCTCTTTGGTAGCAGCAGCAAGTGTTATAGCCAGGTTATAGTCTCATTTTATAAGGCAGCTTGTGTTCTAATAGCTTAAACCTAGCCCCAAGGTGAGTTTGGTTGTCCCTACAGCTGTGCTTTTGAATGCTTACACAAACTGCCAGCCCTCCTCCAGGAGGTTGTTTCCTTAGGGATACCCTGATCTGTCCCCCCACCACCCCATGCCCACTTCTGGACTGCATCTGCCCATCTCAGCTGATGGAAATAGGTTTTCACTGTGTCTCGCTTCTCTTCAGGGTACTACCACCCCCAGCCTAAATGTGCATCCCCAGGCTTGCCCATGCTGTGCATTACTGAGAAGAAAGTCCCCAAAATGAGAAGACTAGCTTTAAAAAGATGAGCTGATTGCAGCCATCCAAATACTGCTCAGACTGCAGTTTTGGCTCTGTTGCTCATTCCTCTGCTGTGGAGAGGGGAAGCCTGGCTTTTCATACAACACAAAGTGTTCAGTGAGAACCAGGGTGAAGGATGAGTTATTTCTGTTGGTCTGTTGCCTTCTCTCAAGTCTGCAATATAACAATTCACACATTCACATCACAAGAGGTGGCAGGACTGTCACCAGTCTGCTGCCTAATGCCTCATGTTCACAGTAAAAAAGACCTGTCCCCTGCCAGCTCCTGCAGTGGGGCAGGATGGGACCAGGGATCCCACAGGGATAAGTGCTGTCCTGTCTCCTTATCTTCTTCTAGAGACAGTCATAGAATGATAGTATCACAGAATGGTTCAGGTAGCAAGGGACCTTCAAAGCTCATCCAGTCCAACCCCCTGCAATAAGCAGTGGCACCTTCAACTAAATCAGGTTGCCCAGAACCACATCCAGCCACATTCCAGGGGTGCAACACGCACCCTGTGCTGCCATGGCTGCAAAAGCACTGCCTGTGCCCAGGTTTCTTTGTTTCTGATGATACACTGGGAACTGGCACATAGTGCCGTAAGTGGCAGATACACACAGAGGGTGGGTTCACTCCGTATTCATGGAGCACTCCCAAAGGATGCTCCAGTTGCTCAACTTGTCTTAACATGGGGGTCTAAGCTTACAAAGAGTTTGGGGGCTCTCTGGAAGTCAGATCACTAGATAAAGTATAACTATGCCCTAATGGCATTATCATTCTTTTCCATTCCCATACAGAAGCTAGGACTACCAGCATCCCACTACTCTTCATTCCCAGCTCTGCTCCATATGCAGTTTTCATTTCTGTCATGAAATAAACAAACTGGGGACAACTCATCCCACTTCCTTTAACATCCCAATTCCCTGGCCTATGAAAGACTGCCTACATTGCTGTATATTTCTGTCCAAGCCTTAACACTTAACTCTCCCCCAGGAATTCCATGTCATTGGGGAAGGAAGTGCCACACAAGCAGGCCCCTCACTGTGGTCAATCATAGCCGTATCACTGATGCTGGGAGATCAAGGGGATAAACACGCCCCAAGCTGCTTCATAGGGCATCATGGCCAACTTAAACTGCCACAATCTACTTTAACTGGAGGAACTCACTTTTGAATTTGCCATTTTCAATGTGAGCGTGTTACAAACTTGTGGCTGAGCATTTCTACGAAGATAATTACAGATGGCAAGACAGAAAAACTTTCTGAAACATTCTCTCTTGAATGTGTGCCTGAATCCATTTACAACTGTTGCTGCTTTAAACACTTCAGGCAGAATAAGTGGATGGCACTAAACAGCTTAGCTGCAATTATTATGGAATGTCTGAGGTATAATTTCCCCTGCGGTTTTGTTAGGCGTACAAAATTCATAATTCTGATTTGTGGCAGGTACTTATTACCCATCGCAGGTGGAGATATGCAAATATTATTCTAGTAGGGGTGAGCAGCCTTTATTTCAGTATTCAGCTATTAACAAGATTTGTGAGCCTGGTACTCTGGGGCCATTTAATTAATTAGATGGTACAGATAAAATAGAAATTGTTTTGTAGGCTACAGCATTCCAGTTCGAGAAGGTGTAAAATGGGACTAAATGAACTTAGCAGGGATGG